CCAAAAGAGCTATTCTGCTAGTCCCACTCTCCAGCTCACACTTCAGCGGTCAAGGACATTCGGCCTTTGACCTTTAGGTAAACATCCACCAAGATAAACAATAACGCAGAATCGCTGAGCAGAGGCTGATAGTCAAATTCGGTACCCATGAGGATGGCCTCAAATGGGATCTTGGGTTCATGTCACACTACAGCTGACCCCATCACACTATACATACTCTCTCTCTAACACACACACACACACGCTCATGCTCACACAGATCCTCTCTCATATACATACTCTCAAACAGACACACACATTCACACAGATCCTCTCTCTCTCTTTCACACACACAGTCTCTCAAGTGCACACAGACACACGCAGAGTCTCTCTCACACATGCATACATACACACACATTAACACAGATCCTCTCTCATACACACATTGACTCAAACAGATCCTCTGTCTCTCTCTCACGCACACAGTCTCTCAAGTGCCCGTGGGGGCACACACACACACACACGCACACACGCACACTTTCTTTCCCTCCCACACACACGCGCATGCAGTCTCTCTCCCTCCCACACATGCACACACACTCTCCCTCCCACACACATGCACACACACTCTCCCTCCCACACACATGCACACACACTCTCTTACCCTCCGACACATGCACATACACACTCTCTCTCCCTCCTACACACGCGCACACACACAATCTCTCCCTCCCACACACACGTGCACACACAGATCCTCTCTTATACACACAGTTTCTCTCTCTCTCTCTCACACACACACGCACGCACACACACTCATGCACACACTGTTGCTCATACGAGCACCCTCACACCCACCATGCTTCCTCTCCCCCTGCCTCCACCCAAACACACACACACACGCGAATCTATGAAGTGAATTTGTAAATGCAGATACATTCTATTTTGTTCAATAAGCACACAATTTATAGGCAGTCAGTCAATGTGGCATTGTATAAATTCTTACTTTAGATATAAAACCGGCCTGACTCCAAACCCATCCATAAACAGATTCTAAACAAGGTCTCACACCTAACATGCATTGTCTGACCTAAGATGTCACCCCCCCTTTTCACTGATATATGTTTAGTTCTCTCAGGACAGGGGCTTGATATATTAATCAATTAAAACCTTCTAACTGATTAAAGATTTAACAGCAACTTAGGTTTCTTTAATACATCCTCATCAGTGATCTGACTCTTTGATCTTTTACTTGTAAATTCTGTGTCTGATACTACCTCTCTCACTAACACCTGAAGAATGTGTGAGGCTCTGAAAGCTTGTGTTTTCAAATAATCCTATTGGACTATAACCTGGTGTTGTGTGATTTCTGACTTCATCCACCCCAATCCAACACCAGCAACTCCACATCACGGCCCTATCTCCACAGCCCTCTAACTTCCTCATTTTCAAATACATATCCAGCTTGACATAGAACATAGAACATAGAACATAGAACAGTACAGCACAGTACAGGCCCTTCAGCCCACAACGTTGTGCCAAACTTTTACCCTAATCCTAAGGTCTATCTAACATCTACCCCTACCTTATACTATCATCCATATGCCTATCTAATAGCCGCTTAAATGCCCCTAATGAGGCCAACTCCACTACCCTCTTCGGCAATGCATTCCACGCCCCTACTTCTCTCTGAGTAAAGAACTTTCCTCTGATGTCTCCCCTGTATCTACCTCCACTTACTTTAAAACTATGCCCCCTCGTAATAGCTACCTCCATCCAAGGAAAAAGTCTCTGGCTGTCTAATCTATCTATACCTCTGATCATTTGGTACACCTCTATCAAGTCACCTCTCATCCTTCGTCGTTCTAAAGAGAAAAGCCCTAGCTCTCTCAACCTTTCCTCACAAGACCTTCCCTGCATTCCAGGCAACATCTGGTAAATCTCCTCTGCACCTCTTCCAACACCTCCACATCTTTCCTGTAATGAGGCAACCAGAACTGCACACAATACTCCAGATGTGGCCGAACCAGGCTTTTGTATAGCTGGAGCATAACTTCACGGCTCTTGAACTCGATCCCTCTATTAATGAAAGCTAACACTCCATACACCTTCTTAACAATTCTATCCACCTGGGTGGCAGCTTTCAGGGAACTGTGAACATGAACCCCAAGATCCTTCTGCTCCTCCACACTGCCAAGAATCTTTCCGTTAACCCTGTATTCTGCTTTCAAGTTTGTCCTTCCAAAATGAATCACCTCACACTTTTCAGGGTTAAACTCCATCTGCCACTTCTCAGCTCAGCTCTGCATCCTATCAATGTCCCTTTGGAACCTAGAACAGCCCTCCGCACTGTCCACAACGCGACCCACCTTCATATCGTCCACGAACTTGCTAATCCACCCTTCCACTCCTTCATCCAAATCATTTACAAAAATCACCATTAGAAGAGGACCCAGGACAGATCCTTGTGGTACACCACTCATAACTGAGCACAATGTTGAATATTTTCCATCCACTACCACCCTTTGTCTTCTAAGGGTCAACCAATTCTGAATCCAGTCTGCCACATTTCCCCCTATCCCATGCCTCCTTACCTTCTGCATGAACCTACATGGGGAACATTATCAAATGCCTTACTTAAATCCATGTATACCATATCCACTGCTCTACCTTCATCCACGTGTTTGGTCACTTCTTCAAAGAATTCAATAAGGTTTGTGAGGCATGATCTACAATTCACAAATCCATGCTGACTATCATGAATCAAACTGTGCCTTTCCAAGTGATCATAAATCCTATCTCTCAAAGCCCTTTTCAATAATTTGCTCACCACTGATGTAAGACTAACTGGCCTGTAATTTCCGGGGTTATCCCTATTCCCTTTTTTGAACAAGGGAATGACGTTTGCCTCTCTCCAATCTTCCGGCACTATACCTGTGGACAGTGAGGATGAAAAGATCAACGCCAAAGGCCCTGCGATCTCTTCCCTCACTTCCCATAAAATCCTTGGATAAATCCCATCAGGCCCAGGGAAATTATCTATCTTCAACTTCCTCAAAATTCCTAGCACATCTTCCTTACTAACATCGACATCCTCTAGCCTACCAGCCTGTTTCACACTGTTGTCCCCTACAACTAGGTCCCTCTCAGTTGTGAATACCGAAGAAAAGTATTCATTAAGGACCTCTCCTATCTCTTTAGGCTCCGTGCACAAATTCCTTTTACAATCCTTGATCGGCCCTACCCTTTCTCTGGTCATTCTCTTATTCCTCACGTATGTGTAAAAAGCCTTGGAGTTTTCTTTGATCCTATCTGCCAAGGTTTTCTTATGCCCCCTTATAGCTCTCCTAAGCTCTTTCTTCATCTCCTTCCTGGAAAACTTGTATCCCTCTCGAGCCTTTTCCGTTCCTTGTTTCCTAAACCTTATATAAGCATCCTTCGTCCTATTAACCAGTCGTTCGATCTCTCTTGAGAACCAAGGCTCCCTCACGCGTCTGCATCTTCCCTGCCTGCTAGGGACAAACATATCGAGCACACGCAGTATGCATTCCTTAAACAATCTCTACATTTCAATAGCTTCCCTGACAGCATCTGTTCCCAATTTATGTTACCCAGTTCTTGCCTAACAGAATTGTAATTACCCTTCCCCCAGTTATAAACCTTACCCTGCTATATGTACCTATCCTTTTCCATGACTATTGTAAAAGTAACAGAGTTATGATCGCTACCGCCAAAATGCTCTCCTACCAACAGGTCTAACACTTGGCCCGGTTCATTGCCAAGCACCAAGCACGAGGCCTCTCCTCGTGTTGGTCTATCTACATACTGTGTCAGGAATCCTTCCTGAACGCACTGGACAAAATCCGCTTCATCTAAACTATTACAACTAAAATGTTTCCAATCAATATTTGAAATGCTGAAGTCACCCATGACTACAACCCTGTGACTTCTGCACCTTTCCAATATCTGCCTCCCAATCCGCTCCTCTACTTCTCTGCAACTATTAGGGGGTCTGTAAAAAACCCCCAACAAAGTGACTGCTCCTTTCTTGTTGTGGACCTCAACCAAAACTGACTCTGTTGACATATCATTCTCGAACTGCCTTTCAGTAGCTGCTATACTTGCCCTGACTTGCAATGCCACTGCCCCGCCTCTTTTTCCACTCTCCCTATTTCTTTTAAAGCATCTAAATCCCGGAACTTCCAAAACCATTCCTCTCTCTGAGTTACCCAAGTTTCTGTAATGGCCACAACATTGTAGTTCCAAGTACTGACCCATGCTCTAAGTTAATCTGCCTTATTTCTGATACTTCTAGCATTGAAGTATAGCTTGCTTGTCAAACCTTCTATGGAATCCACCTCCGCCACTCTTCCAGGCAGCACATTCCAAATCTTAAGAACTCTCTGAATAAAGAAGTGTCTCCTCATCTCACTCCTAGCTCTCTTGCTGGCAATCTTCAAATTGTGACCCCTAGTTTCTGACAAACTATCTTTCGAAAACAGAATATCCTTCTTTATCCTGTCAAAATCATTCAAAATTTTGAACACCTTAATGAGGTCACCTCTTAATCTTCTCTGACCCAAGGAGAATAAGCCCAATCTCTCCAATCTTTCTTCCATCTGAAGCCCTTTATTCCTGGTATCATTATAGTAAATCCTTCGTTCCTGGCATCATTCTGTTCAGTTAATTTAAAGGACTTTATTTCAAGACCCCTGGAAAGAAAGTGTTAAACTCCTACCCGGTAGACCCTATGTGCAAAAATCTAATTTTAAAAAAATCTCTAAGAAAACAGTATAAAATATATAAATATATATGTCACGGACAATGGTGGTTCAAGGAGTCAACTCACCACTATCTTTTCAAGGGCACCTAAAGATAAGCAATAAACTTTGGCCCAGCCAGCAAAGCCCAAAGCCCACAAGTGAATACAGAAAAAATTTTATAAAGGGTATAAATCATGTATTAAAGGATAGTGAAGAATAGAAGAAAAGTCAGAAAAGGTAGAAAAGGCAAATACTCACTTAGCAATCACTTAGCCGAGATGTAGCGTTGGTGTGTTCACTCAATCTTTCAGGACTCCTGTGTTTTATCTCCCGGTAGTGGAACAAGAACCAATTGCTATGAGGCGAGATGGAGTGGAAAGGCAAAAGTAAATGCAAAGAAACAAACACATTTTTCCCCATTCACCTAACTCCCCACTAACTTAACTCCCCACTAACCCCTAACTCCCCACTAACCCCTAACTCCCCACTAGCCAAACTTGGAGTCTTGCCTTCAAATGAATGCAGCTAAGATTGAGCCACAATGAAATTGTCACTTGTGACTCAACTTGATTTTTGCATTCACGGATTTGGATGTAATCTAATGCAAATCAATGAAGAAAATGATAACATTGAAAATCACTTTGCCAATTTGTTTATGAAAGACTTTTTGTATTAGACACATCCTTTTCAGAAGCATTAGTGAAATATCTTCAAAGGCAACAAAGAATGGTTATCAGCATAATCAAGTAGCATTTGACTGTAAAATTATGTCTGAGGCAGCCTACCCTAACACTCCATTCAAAGGAAACTGGAAACAAAACAAATGCTGGTCTCGCATGCCCAACATCCATGAAATAACAACTGTCAAATAATTACAGTCAGTAAATGACTAAAATTAACTTTGTTCATTTGATATCTTCTTTCAAACGGAAACTTGAAATAATTGATATTGTACAGACTTTGCCTGATATGAATTACATAAAAGAACTGAATATTATTTCACTAATGGAAAAGACAATAACATTGAGGCAAAGGAGATAGTAGGAACTGCAGATGCTGGAGAATCCGAGACAACAAGGTGCAGAGCTGGATGAACACAGCAAGCCAAGCAGCATCATAGGAGCAAAAAGGCTGACGTTTCGGGCCTAGACCCTTCATCAGAAATGGGGGAGGGGAAGAGGGTTCTGAAATAAATAGGGAGAGAGGGGGAGGTGGATAGAAGATGGATAGAGGAGAAGATAGGTGGAGAGGAAACAGACAGGTCGAAGAGGTGGGGATGGAGCCAGTAAGGGTGAGTGTAGGTGGGGAGTTAGGGAGGGGATAGGTCAGTCCAGGGAGGACGGACAAGTCAAGGGGGCAGGATGATGTTAGTAGGTAGGAGATGGGGGTACGGCTTGAGGTGGGAGGAAGAACAGGTTAGGGAGGTGGGGACGAGCTGGGCTGGTTTTGGGAATGCGGTAGGGGGAGGGGAGATTTTGAAGCTTGTGAAATCCACATTGATACCATTGGGCTGCAGGGTTCCCAAGCGGAATATGAGTTGCTGTTCCTGCAACCTTCAGGTGGCATCGTTGTGGCACTGCAGGAGGCCCAGGATGGACATGTGGTCTGAGGAATGGGAGGGGGAGTTGAAATGGTTCGCGACTGGGAGGTGCAGTTGTTTATTGTGAACCGAGCGTAGGTGTTCTGCATTGAGGCAAGTTTTTTTTTACACAGAAGGTGATAACTGCCTGGAATATGTTGCGGGAAGAGTTGGTTGAAGCAATACAATAGCAATGTTTAAGAGGTATCTTGACATATACGTGAATAGGCAGGGAGTAGAGGGATTCAGACTGTGTAGAGGCAAGGGGTTTTTAGTTTATTATGGCATCATGCATCAACGCAGACTTGGTGGGCCGAAATGCCCATTCCTGTGCTGTATTGTTGTTTAGAGATAGTAGGAACTGCCAATGCTGGAGTCTGAGATAAGAAGGTGTGGAGCTGGATGAACAAGGGTACAGACCCGGAACGTCACCTTTCCTGCTCCTCTGATGCTGCCTGGCCTGCTGTGTTCGTCCAGCTCCACACCTTCTTATCTGTATTGTTGTTTGTTCTTTGCATTCTAGTGGCCGAGGTAGGAAGTGACATCTGTTTCTCAGTTATTGAAGTTACTAACTTCAATGATAAATTCTGACTTCAGCAAACATTTGTACTATTCTGATGAATGGATTTGCACTGAGAAATTGTCCCTGAACAATGCAGCAGTTAATTTTCAATGATATTTTCCTGATGAGTAGATTTATTAAAAAACTAGGAGCAAGAGTAGGCCATTCAGCCTGCCGTGGCATTCAGGATGATCATGGCTGATACTCTTTTTCAGTACCATTTTCCTGTTTTCTTCCATAATGCCTTTAAAATATAACACTTATCTCTCTATTTCTTGTGTATATTCAGGAAATTGACTTCCACAGCCTTCTTAGCTATATAATTCGACAATTATACTACTCTTTGAAATGAAACATTTTTTCTATTTCAGTCCTAAATGATCTTTCTCATATCCTGAGACTGTGTTCCCTCAACTGATGTAGCAGTACAACTGCTAAGTGTAGCTCAAGGCTTGGGTGTGGGGAACCTGGGGTTTCCATAACTGTTAGGACTCCCAAACTATGGAGTAATTTCTGGCACCAAGCTTTCTGAAGACTCCAACCTGATTTTCAAAACTACCATTTCTGGAACAAACATGCAGATCCTCAAATCCAAAATGATCCTGGAAAATGGGTTTAGAATAATTAGGTGGCTGTTTCCGACCAGCGTGGATGTGAAAACACGATAAAAATATAAATGTATATATATCATGGACTGCAGTGGTTCAAGGAAGGATCTCTAAGACTACAGGGTGATCCAATGATCAGCTTTCCTTATGTAAACTGGACGGTTCAACAATAATCCATAAACATTACAGGCCTTTATTTATTACATTATACATTATTTATTGTAAATACCAAATCTAGACACAACTGACCTAACATTTACAATTACAATCTCTCCAAATGAAGGATGAGGTTTTTTTTATTTAAATGCTGATCCAGATAGAACACCTACTTTATTCTCATTTCCCTACAGAAAATCTAGATCTAGATTTAGATTTTATTGTCATGTATACTCAAGTACAGAAGTATAAGAGTGCGGTGAAAAATCTATATTAAAAACCAAAAGTGCTGCAGAAGATGTCTTTCAGAAACAAAAACAGAAGTTGCTGGAAAAGCTCAGCAGGTCTGGTAGCATCCGTGAAGAGAAATTAGACCTAATGTTTTGGGTCTGTTGACCCTTCCTCAGAACTGGCCCAAAATGTTAACTCTGATTTCTCTTCTCAGATGCTGTCAGATCTGCTGAGCTTTTCCAGCAACTTTGTTTTTGTTTCTGAAAAGTGTGTAATGTTGCCACACGCAGAACTATCCTAGGTACATAGGTACCTTGGTACAAAAACTTAGGTACAAAGTAGTAAAAGAAACAAAGTTAAAAAGTTATGCATTACCTTCATAGAATAAGTAGAAAAATAAAGAAATAAGGTAATAGTTAAAATTAAAGTCCTTCTTAATATGAACTAGAAAAATAAAGGTTTAAAGTTAAAATTTCAACTACCTTACTGCTTGAACATTGTAATGACTGCCCTTTTGGTCTATTACTGTTCACATTAGTAACTTCTTAGCCCATTTAAGTACAGAATTATTGCAGGATTGCACAGGGCTACCTCAAGTCAGACGTCTCCTTTCAGCATGCAGTATTTTTCACTGATCCTAGGCTGAGTTGCACAACATTAATTTAGTACTCAAATATGACATTTAATTTGAATAATTAATGAGCCTGGAACATATTTTTGATTATCCCAGAGACTGTGGTGAGGAAAAATGAAAACATGTATATGATGTGGGATAATCAAAAATATGTTCCAGGCTCATTAATTATTGAAATTAATTGTCATATTTGAGCACTAAGAATATATTGCGTCAGTATTTATGGTGGAGAAAGACATGGAGACTACGGAACTCGGGGAAATAAATATCAATGTCTCGAAAACAGTCCACATTACAGAAGAGGAATTCTTACAATGCGTAAAGGTGGATAAATCTCCCAGACCTGGTCAGGTGCATCCCAGAATGTCACGGAAGCTAAGGAAGAAATTGCAGGGCCCCCAGCAGAGATATATGTATCATCTACAGCAACGGGTGAGATTCTTATTCTCATTTTCAAACTCTGCCAGGGTCTTGCTCTTCCCTATCTCCATTGCCTCCTCAAACCAATTAAGCAACCCTCCCCGAAATCTGTGCTCTTTGAATTCTGGATTCTTATATATTCCAAATTGGAATTGGTCCACCATTAGTGGCTGTGACTTCAGTTGCCTTGACCTCAAGCTCTGCAATTTCTTGCCTAAACCTCCCCCCTCTCTTTTCCCTTTAATACACTTGTTAAAAGAAAAGCCTCATCTGATCTTATGTCTCCTTAAATGTCTCAATGTAATATTGTTTCATAATGCTCATGAAACACATTGGAACCTTTAATTACATTAAAAAATGTTAGGTAAATGTACACAACAGGTCAGGCAGCTTCGGAGGAGCAGGAAAGCTGCTGTTTCGGGTCAGGTTCCTCCAACTCCACTCTGTGTTATCTCTGACTCCAGCATCGACAGTTCTTACTATCTCTTAGATAAATGTAAGTTGTTATTTCAATAACTCCACCAAGAAAACATGATAAGTTGGTACTTTATAACCATTTAGGAGAGAATTTGCTTAATAGATTGTTGCTTAAAAAATACGTATTTTGTTAAAGACTTTTGTCTTGTACTCCTCAAGAATAGCACTGCATAAAAAGGGGAAAATCAACACTTACAATACATGAAATGAGAGTGCTGTTTGTAAACTTACATACTTCAGATTGAAGTCAAGCACCATAAAACCATCCTGTGGGATAATGGTTACTTTGATCGGAAGATACCATACAAACTCATGAAAAATCAAAAAGCCTTTGGTCCTGAAAAATGTCCAGTGCATCTCAGATACTATGAACACAAGTGGATATCACCCAAACAGGACCCTGCCATCAACTCAAAAAATATTTTGCCCATCACGCAAATGAACAATGTGGTATATGAATTTCAGTGCTACAGGCATGTAGGCTGTACACTCCAAAGACTGGCTGATTGTTACAAAATGTATATGGTACTGACCATACTCAACTAGACCACAATTGCAAAACTCGCATGAATTGCCCAGTATTAGAAGTGATATTGCAATTAGACAACATTTGCTGGATGTTCCTAAGTGTGCAAAGAATTACACTAACAACCAATTTAGAATAGTCAGTCACGTTTCAAGTGCAGTG